CGAGCCCGCTGTGGCAAGATTCCCGAAGTAAATGAGCATTGTCGAAGACGTTCTCATGCGCCAAAACGTGTAACAGCTTGCGCATGACAAGATGGAGGTGACAGGTAGTGTGTCTCCGGACAATATGTGCCTTGCTGCAGCACCTGCTATCTCACGAACGACGCTTTTGGTGCACTTTCACGATCAATCAAGAATGGCGGGCTCTTCGAATGCATATCTGCTGACCACAACGAAGAAACGAGCGACACTCGCAGCGGACGGATGCAAATGCCGACCCCGCGCAGTTGATAGCATTGGTAGTGTCAGTTCGACACGCACTATAGCAGATGCGTGCTGTTTCAAATGTCATCGCACGATGTTTGTACAGTGGCTCCTTATGACGTCAACGTCTTTACTACTTCCATCTTCGTACGCATAACAGGAATTGTGAGCCCGCGCGCCAAAAATTGCATTCGAGACAAGAGCAGAGCACCAGCAGCACACAATTGGCTACGGATAGTCCAATTCGACAGCGTGGTGTGCACAGGCGTTGCAGCATTGGCCATTGAAAAGACGTCTTGGATAGAGTTACCACAGCAACGATTGTCACGCCGCAATCAGAAGTGCACATCGTTCAACCAGTTGGTGTGCGACCTCATACTACCACTCCACCACAAGGTACCGTACGGCTCCAATAGATTGGTCATCAGTGAACGCAAGCTAAGGCTCACCAGATTGTCAGGAGAAGACAAAGCCATGCGAGGCCACCAACCTTGCGGAATTACTGCTGTGCCTGCATGCCAGGACGGCGCCGATTCATGCAAGCGCACGAATAGAATACCGGACTGTGCTTGTGTCTTGAACGACCCTCTGAGCTACATGCTACCGAACCGAAAGACGAGCAGACAACGTCCAGAGACATTACGGAAAGGTGCGTTGTACACTCCCATGTGCTCCACCCCGCGAGATTCTGGCCGCAGCAGTTCAAATCGCGTAGCGCTGTGCTCGCGATTTGGACTTCCGTGGCCAGATCTCTGCAATGCTGTGCAGTCCAGCTCGAACTTGAATTGCTTGAATTCACCTCGTGAAACATCCACTAACGTCGGACGGACTCGAATGCAAGAATGTGACACGGCGCCTTCCCGCGAGTTCCACAAGGCAGTAATGGAGTCTGATGCCCAGAAGCTGTTCCATAACAATGTTTACGACAGGAAGATGGCAGTGTCGAGTAGAAATGCCTCCGCAACGCACATCGACAGCCTCCGCGAGAATCGTTGTCCTATCGTCCCTCCGTTCTTTCCCCTTGCTGCCTATCCCGGCAGCAATGCCTTTTCCTTCGGTCGCGCTCTTCGCGTTTGACGACAACGATAGGCGATGTTCCATAAAGCTCGATCGCCACCTTGTCGGTATTTAGGCCTCTTTCGGTGCGATATAATCCCTGCATCTCGCTCGACGAAATACAGCACGATAAAACATAACACGAAAAAGACGGCATTTGTTTGGTCTTACGCTTTACAAAGCGGTGAAAGATCGACGCCGGATCAGAGAATGTACGTGAACGTATTGTGTCTTGCGATTCATTTGAGGCTCGTTTTGCTCCATACTTTCATGAACAAAAAGCGGTGCATGGCCATCGCCAGCTAGTGCCAGAAACTTGTTGCCGTTGACAATTTCGATGCTTCGTAAAAAGCAAATAAAGGGAACAAACCTACCGAAGTGTACCAGAATCGTGGCGATTCTTCATCGCCATTATGCACCTTGCGACGCTTGTGCTTCCAACGGTTTCGATAGCGCTAGCCTTGAGCATTGTTCGACCAATTTTACATTGCCCGCAGACTCGTCTCGTTCCCTTTACTGATACTTAGGTTTCTCGCGCCGACAAAAGTGACAATGTTCACTCGACAAACGGGCCATGACATGCTTTGCGAACCGTTTCCGATATACGGTAAAAAGCGGTTGAAGTGAAACGCACAGCCAAGGTAACGGATTTACGACATGATTCATTGTACACGTGCGTACGTATTTACTTCAGTCTTTTTGCTCAATCGTTGATACAGAGGCTAAGTCGTGGTTGTCGAGTGGAAACGTACGTTGTCTGAAGTCTACGACACGGTCGCCAGCGTTGGTATTAGACGGAACACTTCAGCAACAAGAGAAGGACAGAACCACGAAGTAGTATCAGACAAGCTCAGACTCGTTGCTAATTCCATTGCTATGACGAAAGCAATGCAAACGGCAACACATAGCGGACTGGCATCAGCATTGATGCGCTTCAATGCGAGCGTCTGATTCCGCACGGCAGGCTGAACGGCTTGTTTGCACCGAAACTGAAGTACTGCTTACCGAAAACTGGCTTGGCCGATGTTGTATTGCACTTGTAGTCACGACGGATGTATTTCGCTGTGCAATTACGTTCACCTGCACGAAGAAGAAGAAATATGAGGGCGTGGGTTGTGCTGAAACACCGCAAAGAATGCTGAGAAAAGATGCAGAGTAAGAAGAACAAAGATGAGCAGTACGCCTCCGTGCGTGCCGATATTGTCGATATCGGTAGTCTTTAGTGATTGCTGCGATATGCCATGTGACGATTTTGCAACGACAATTACGACAACACTGCAGTGTTGGGTGCAAGAATTCGTAAAGAGCATGAGTTGTTTCGCGTAACTATGACAGAATCTCCGATGACGTCAGCTTACTCTGTATAAACGGTGTGACCTCTGTTTGGTGCAATCATGGCGAGGATTTCATTGCCTAGATGATAGCAAAGTACAAATTTTGACGGTATTTTGTACAATTCTTTTGATTGAAACGGAGCAGGTTTTGAACGATGTAAGTCTTTCCCCCTTCCAGCACGATTCGCTGCGCTTGGCTGCATTGGGTTGGAAGATAGAGAAGCAGCGCCTTTGCAGATCTCCATCCGCTCAGGAAGTTGACGGTTGATCGATGAGGTCTTCTAAGCGTCACTGAAGTCTATCTGCTCATTGTGACAAGCCAAGTTAGTCCAGAGCCTTGCCTCCTTAATAGCTGCATTCAGTAGCATTATGTGCTGCTTGAGTCTATCGAGATTGCGGTCTACGAAGAGGACAGTAGTCGTGGACATTGAAGAACCGACTCAACAGCGTCGCACAGTATCAAGTGCTCAGTTCATGAAGCGAGAATGAGGGATTGCCATCAGCGCTCACGTCGTTCGAATCACCGCGCAAAGCCTTGAGTGAGCTCATCTCAGCGATCGATGTCAGCAGTACTGACAACCGAGAACGATGACTTGTCACACTTGCTGCGCGTCCGTCGAGCAACTATCATCATGTCTTTTTACAAACGACAAGTAGCGTCAAGCATTTCTCAAACATCTTGCAGAAGGCCAAGTCAGTACGTTAATCAGCGAAGGGGAGAGGTAATGAGATAGAGGTTCATCAGCGCAGAGTCTAATGGAACGGCACAAGAAACACCAACGTGACAGACCTATTGTACGCCAGTTGTTGCATCATGTTCCGCTGACACTGCTCATTTGCTGCACAGAAGGTGAGAGGCGTGTCCACTAAAAAGGAGCACATGCAACTCTGGCGCAGGAATCAATGTGGGTATGTGCTGCGAGCGCAACGGTCGGACTGTATCGACACCGTCTTATGCATCATCCGTTACGTCTAAACACATACAACCGTAATTTGTCCTTACAACATGTAGTACTAGCAACAGAAGCTTGGACTTGTTGATCTCCACGAGACCGCTGCCGATAATCTCCCTATAAGCATTTACAATGCGTACCACGGCTTTGCCCATCCACGTCATTTGGACGCCAGAGCATGTCAGAGAATACGACTTGAACGAGTGTTGCTGCAAATTGGTAGTGTTAGCTTGGACTTGCTCCGCACGTACAGCCGAATCGTATTGGTAAGTGAAAGCAACGTCGAGTGCCATGGTTCTGCTCCTGATCTATCCCCTGGTATTTTCTCCATCGTAGCTCAGCTTTCAGACAAAGGTGTGGGATGCGATTTCAGTTGTAAATGGAGGTCTTTCGCGCGGCCAATTTGGCGATGTTCTATCTGAAGAGCCTTAACGTCCAAGCACGTGCAAATTGGTAGTGGGGTATCAGTAACCTCGGAAGAGAGATGCGATAGCGGTCAATTGAGTACATCAAATTCATACGAGTGGGCCGTAAAAAAGGCCACATTGTTTGGCGTGTTCGATCTGAAAGGGCGTGTTTTGCGAGCTGTAGATCTACAGAGACGCTTTTGTGTGTGCAGGTGCAGAAGTCTTTTCAGGCTGCACACAGCAAGATAAAGTTGTTCATCACGAAAATACCTAGCTTCGGAAATCGAATCAAGTACACAACACTACGTATCATAACATACCAGTCTGACAAACAAAACCCACAACCAGTTTGTGTCCAGAACGCGCCTCCCTAACAAAAATAAAGCACAAAGCTGAATTCCTCTAATAATAGAGTGTCCGCATTTATAAAAGATCGATCTATCCGTAACGGAGATCCCGGACGCATCTCCCGATCAGATACAGTCGCTCTATTCATCTGGTCTTCCAGCGGTCTGTTCGCCGGTCGCAAAGCGCAAACACCTGTGTAACATTACACGCTCTCCTTCCCGCGCTGAACTTACGCCCATCCGCGTGCGCGTGGAACGCACTGGGATGGGCCTCGTCGCGTCGCATCCGCACGCTGCCGTTTGATTCACACAGCGCTCGCTCGATATAAACAGCAAATTGTACGTAACAAACAAACAAACAAACAAACAGCAGAGTCGGTATGAAAGATCGTCGATCCAGCTGGGAACGACCAGCACAGGTCTTTCCCCCATGCAGAGAGCCAGTTGTGACGTGTCGTAGGTCTCTCGTGGCGGTGCATCAAATTTTCTGAGACCGTCGACGCGCTGCTCGTCCGCGAGACGCTGTTGCCAGTCATCACTCTGCAATTGTCACTGCACCCCACCCCACCCCACCCTCCACTTACCGACGTGTTGAACCGGAATCTCGAGTGTCACGGATCCATCCTGTCGTCGATTTTTCCAATGCTGACTTCGTGGCTCGCGCTCGCGCTCTTGTCCGTGCCGGGCATTGCGCTTGCCGACGGCATTGACGACTACGACGCGCGCGCGCAAGCGATTGTCGACAGCTTCTCGACGGCTCAAGTGGTGGGTCAAATGACACAATTGACGCTGTCGGAAATCATGAACAGCACCTCTCGGGACCTCAACGAAACGGCCGTGCGTGAATACGCGCGACTGAACGTCGGGTCGTACCTCAATACGTACTGGGAGAGCCCCGTGGATGGCGTCTATGGCTACAACGCGTCAGAGTTCCGATCGTTGATCCAGCGCATCCAGAACATTACGATGGAAGAGAATGGCGGCCACCCCGTGATCTACGGCATTGACTCGGTGCATGGCGCGAGTTACGTCGTGGGGCCCGTGCTGTTCCCGCACCAGATCAACAGTGGCGCGAGCTTTGACGCCGACTTGGTCTACCAAGTGGCGCGCATTACGGCTCGGGACACAGAGGCGGCAGGCATCCCGTGGATCTTTGCGCCCATTCTCGACATTTCGCAAAACACCATGTGGGCGCGGACGCACGAGACGTTTGGTGAGGACCCGTACTTGGCCTCGGTCATGGGCGTTGCCCACGTTCGCGGGCTCCAGAGCCACAACCAAACCGCAGCTTGTATCAAGCACTTTATCGGCTACTCGAAGACACCAACGGGTCAAGACCGTGACAATGTCCTGGTCTCGGACTTTGAGCTGCTGAACAACCACTTGCCGTCGTTCAAAGCGGCAATTGACGCAGGAGCGCTGTCCGTGATGGAAAACTACATCTCGCTCAACGGTGACCCCGTGATTGCAAGCACGCGGATTTTGAACGACCTGCTGCGCTCTGACCTCGGCTTTAACGGCGTGCTGCTCTCGGACTGGAACGAGATCTACAACTTGTACGCCTGGCACCGCGTCTCGTCGTCTCGGGAAGAAGCTGTGGCCGTGTCGCTGAAGCAAACGTCGGTTGACATCAGTATGGTGGCGGAGGACACGGACTTTATCGGGTACGCCCTCAACATGTTGAAGGAGAACCCGGAGCAAGAAGCGCGTCTGCGCGAGTCCGTGAAGCGTGTGATCAAGCTGAAGCTCCGACTCGGTCTGTACGACACGCCAGTGCCGGGTGAACAGTTTGTCTCGATGGTGGGCAGTGACCAGGACCGAGCTACGGCGCTCCAGCTTGCCCGCGAGTCCATTGTGCTGCTATCGAACGACGAACGATACCTTGCCGCTACCGAAGCAAGCCTCGGTCTTCCTCACCGGTCCTTCGTCGGACAATGTCGGGTACCAGTGTGGAGGCTGGACGTACACGTGGCAGGGCTACTCGGGCAACGAGATGTTCCCACACGGCATTTCAGTGCGCAAAGGGCTCGAGAATCTGGTTGGCAACGACTCGTTCACGTATTTCAACGCCCTTGACATCAACGGGAACATCGACGAGGCCAACTTGACCCGGTCCATCCAGCTTGCCCGCCAGCACGACTACACTGTTGCTGTCATTGGCGAGCCCAATTACACCGAGAAAACGGGTGACATCAACAACCCGGCACTGCCTGAAGGACTGGAGGACTTTATCGAGGCTGTTGCTGTCAATGGTACGAAGGTCATTGTGGTGCTGCTCGGGGGTCGTCCACGTCTGCTCGGGTCGATCCCGAGCAACGCGCATGCTGTTATCAACGGTATGCTGCCGTGTGAGATGGGTGGGCAGGCGATTGCTGAGATCCTGTACGGGGACGTGAACCCGAGCGGGAAGCTGCCGATCTCGTACCCGATGCACCCGGCGACCGTGACGATCCCGTACAACCATCTCGTGACAACGCGCTGTCAGTGGGACAACTGCCAGATGCAGTGGGAGTTCGGCACCGGTCTCAGCTACACGCAGTTCAACTACTCGTCGATTGCGATCGACAAGAAGATCATCAGTAGCGCTGCTGACACGTTGACCGCTACTGTCACGGTCACGAACGTCGGCGCCGTGCCTGGCAAGGAGACTGTCATGCTGTTCCTCATCCAGCCGTTCCGCAAGATTTCGGTCCCGAGCATGAAGATGCTCAAGAAGTTTAAGAAGATTGAGCTCCAGCCGGGCGAGTCGATGGAGGTGTCGTTCACGCTGTCGTCGGCCGACTGGAGCGTGTACAAGCCGGAGATTGGAACGGGTCTGTCGCGGGTCGTTGAGGACACCGAGTACGTGGTGGCCTTCAAACCAGACACGCGATGCGACGTGTACGCGGACTTTGTAATTCCGATGAACATCACGAACCCGTTGTGCGCGTCGTTTAGCATCAACACCGCCGGCGGTGCCAATGTGAGCAGCGCCAGTCCTCTGCCGTCCACCGGCGTTGCCACTGGAAACAGTGCCAGTCCTGTGCCGTCCACCAGAGTTGCCACTGGAAACAGTGCCAGTCCTGTGCCGTCCACCGGTGTTGCCACAATAAACAGTGCCAGTCCTTTGCCGTCGACCGGTGTTGCCACTGGAAACAGTGCCAGTTCTCTGCTTCCCGTCAGTGTGGCCGATGTGAGCAGCGGTGGCCTTTTGCTATAGATTGCGCCTCTGGACCACACGTTCTCCATGTCACGTTTGACTCGAAGTGCCTTTAGACGCACTCGTTGCTAACGTAATACAAACTGTCGAAGTTTGTGGGAATGTCATGTCAAGCGTCTCTCATGCTCCTCACTGCTTTGTCTGCGCTGTAGGGCCACGTGCATCTGCTAATTGATCGATTCGGTCGATGATATGCATAGTGTCTGCAGTGCAGCGTAAGCTGTCGTGGACAAAGTGTTGCAACAAAAGAGCGCTGCGATGTTTTTACTGTGCGAAGAGCAGTAGATATGTACGTAAAGGACATGCGATCGACACGAAGCTCGACGTAGCCACATTGCTACCGCATCAGCCGTGCGCTTTGTCGGATCGTTCAGTGTACTTGATGGACATCGATACGAGGGGTGCGTAGAAAGCAGTCGAGAGCTATTTGAGCTGATCGGGTGTCGCAGGCTGTTTCTAGCTGGAACTTGTCAGCTCACGAAGCCTTCCGACCTTTTGCATGGACCTCTTGGGTTCTCACGTCTCGCGTGACGGACGATACGATGCACACGTCATGAGGTTAAACGGCAACGGCAACGGAAGACGACATGTTTAGAAAAAGTTAGCAATGAAAAAGTCGAGCGACTCGCTCAGTGTTGGCAGGTCATCCAGCGGCGACGACACGGACGACGGCGATGCGCCGTTGGGGTCCGTACTCGAAAAGCCTTTTGCATCTAACGCCACAGGGACAATGGTCGGGCGTTGGAACGGCAATGTGTGAGCCTGTGCACGTGCGTTCAGAGCGACTACAGCTGGCGTCGACACGGCCATGGGCTTCACTTCTCGGTAGTGATGAAGCTCTGGACGCGCACAGTTGCTGCGTAGTTGCGGGTGGACGCGAATGAGCGTCGGCTGTGCCAACACGTCGTGGTCGATGCGGTGTTCGCGCCGCAGGCGAATGGCTTTGCCCGTCTGCATCCCGTGGAGACGCCGCGAGACTTTTTCCTGATACTTTTGTGCGTGCGTCTGCACTTGTCGAACCGACCGCGTGCCGACGAACTTGGTGATCGCTTTCCAAGGCCCTTGTGGGTAGTGCTTGAGACCTTCGAGGAAGCGGTCGTGTTCTTCGCTGGACCAGACACCAACTGCTCGATTCAGATGATGTCCGGCAGGGCCGTGGCCTGCGACGGTCGCAGTCGGGGACGAGAGCGCCATGATCGAAGAGGTCATTGGTACTGCTGCGATGGCGGCGGCAGTGTGGTAGGACAAGTTGACGGATGCCTGTTGAGTGGCAGTTGCCGCCATGAGGAAGATTGAGGAATAGCTGGCGATCGGTCAAGTCCGAGAACACCTCGAGACACCGAGAAACGGCAGCGGATGGAGTTCCAGACAGGCGATTGCACGACAAGGTGCAAACGTATCTGCAGAGACGCTGATCCACACATACACACACACACACACACACGTCGATTCAGGCAAGATCAAGGCCTACGCTTCGCCCGTAGCTGCCGATCTTAAGCGTTACCCGTGCCAGCGCCCCACCAAATGAATGATACCTACTGTCACGGGCTTGGCACGACGTCGTCGCGTCTCTCGTTTGCGTCGAGTGGACATGAGTTCAGAAATTTGCCTCCAGCCGGCGCAAGGCGCTGCTGACCAGTGTCTGATTCAAGTGACTAGGTGGGCTCATTTGCTCGCCCTGTGGCCAGCAACGCGGTCGTCCAAGTCTCAGTTGAATCAACTCGGACACGAGGGGCCCGTGACGTAGTTACGCATGTTAGAGCTTGACCACGTTCCTCAAGTACGTACGTTGCCAACTCCTTTCGAGCGGGAGGCACTACATTTACAAACAAATGTGCGCACGGAAAAAAAAGATCGACAGCTTCCGCTTGATCTACCGTCGGATTTTCGCAAGCGGCTTGCGCGTGCGCGCCGTGGAAGGGCAGGTAGCAACGAGAAGGAAGTTTGCTACTGACTTCCCGCAGCGTTGCACGCGCGCGTTGACGGTAATCAGTCGGCCTCATTTCGCCATCTCGTCGCACGTTCGCGAGTCCTCGTTGCCAACTATGGGCCTCTTTTTCTGTACTGATGCGTGCGGGCCACGCACGCACGAACGGCGTGTCAAGCGTCGCACGGCCAAAGATATGTCGAGCGCGAGTCATATCGCAACAGGGAAAAGAGACAATCCAGGAGGGTGCGTGTCTGCGTGTGTGCGTGTGTTGGCAGCCAAGATCCAGAGTGGACGCTCGTTCAAGTGTACATTGAGACGTAGACGTTGCGGACAAAATCCACTCCTTGTTAAACGACACGTAATGAATGACGCACGCCCACGAAGTTGCAGCTGCCAAAGGTCAGCGAGACTGTATTCGCGAAACATGCCAAACACTTCGAACAGTTGCAGTGGGAGTCCTAGCGACGACACGCAACCGAATCAAAAGCACTCGACAACCATGATCACTTTCGTCCTGTTGCTCTCTCTCGGTCTCTCTGCGTCCTGGCTGCTCCTGCTCGACCAAGTAGTTGACGCTTGTCGCTGTCAACGACCCCAGGTGTCATCGATGGCTACCTAATGTACCAATGAACACATATCGATTCTCAATTCAGTCCGCCGGTCGATCGAATCTCCCACTTCTTTCCACTTATCGACACACCCGTCTTTTCGTCAGTAAGTAGTCCAGGCGTACGCTCTTACTCAGCGAGCGTTACTTATTCCGGTGAAAGAACGAATTGCGCGGGTTGTGGTCACCGCTGTTGTTGCCGCGTCCCGAGCGAAAAATACTCGAGCGGTAGCTGCTTGGGCTACCTGACGACGTAGCCGGGTTCGGCTCCAGCTGAGATAGACTCAGGGTTGATGCCGACAACAGGTTGCTCGAGCTGCGGCTGTTGTTGTTGGCGAGGATTGAAATCCGCTGGAAGTCTTCCACGTCCAATGGCGGCGTGCGCTCAATCCGAGCATGTGACAGAGAACCCCAGCCAGCACTGTGCTGTTGATGCTGATGCTGCTCCAACTGTGACAGTGTGATCCGCATGCTCGTTCCAATAAACTCCTTTGTATGCACATGCACCTGGATGTCGGGCCGCTCGGCAAGCTTCGGAATCACTAATTGCATAAATCCATCCAACATCATCGGAGTCACGTACTTGAGCTCAACGCCCATCGGAAACGTGTCCGACACGATCGGACCGCCATCCAAGACGTTCTTGAGCCATCGCGTCATGTAATCTAGCTTCTTCGGGTTGCCCTGCGCCCAATCCGCGAGCAACCGCTTCCATGGGACCGAGCCCAGGTTGTAGTGCATGGATGGAGGAAAATTACGAATCTCTTCCCAATGGTCCTTGACTCGACGTGCGTTGCCCCTGCTCGAGACCTTGCTCTTGGCATGCCCGATGCGAGCAGCACTTTTCAGTAGCAAGTGGTGTGCCTCGGCCGATTTTTGGTCTACACTGCCGCTAGGTGCAGCCGGGGCGAGCACCGATTTGTCCGACGACAACGATGTCAGCGAGCCACGACCGCCAGAAGCTGGAGAACCGGTATTGGCTTGTGTAATGCTGCCGACATCGATGGGCAGATCGCGTATCTCACAGATATACGATCGAAGTTTCTCGTACTCCGTCTCGATTGCTGCCAAATACGTCAAGTCCTTGCTTTCCTGGTCACGATAGGCCAACTTCTGCACCTGCTCACCAACCTCTTTCGACTGTTGCCAGTTTTTGAGCGTACGGTTCTCGGTCTTCAGGCGCTGGATTTCCAACTCTTGGTGCTCCAACTGCTTTCGCAACTTCTCATTCTCTTCATGAAGTACCGTGATCACTTCGTGGCTTTCGTCCAGAATTCCACTGGTGCCACTGAACCGACTGCTGGGTATCGAGCCACGTGTAGAGCTGCTGCTACAAGTGCCGCGGTCGCTGCTAGTTCCCGTTGGATTGGGCACGTCAGATGGACCGAGTGAACGAGCCTTGTTCGACGGAGACAGCTTCACTCCAGTGTGCACTTGCTTTCTGTCCAGCTTCATCTGAAGTTGTGCAACCTTCGAGCCAAACTCTTTGTAAGCCTTCTCCTTCTCCATCTTACGCAAGAACACCAGGCGCAAGAGAGAGAAACGGAAGAACCCTTGCAGTCTCTTTACAGCAGACACTGTCATGAGGTAACGCTGGCGCTCCATGTGCATACGGCAGTAAGCCTGGAAACGCACAATGCGGTAGTCGAACTTGAGCACGCGGTACATCTTGCGGGTCGAGACACCGCGAGCTTGGGCCTGCAGCTTCACTACACCTCGACGCAGCTTCAAGTACCGTTTGTGGATCACGTAGCGGCGCCAGTACTTCTGGATAACCACAATTTGCTGCTTTTGCCGCAAGAAATGCCGACGCATGAGCCAACAGCGCACATTCTTCTGCAGCACAATCGCGTACTTGCGTAACGCCCAGCCTCGTTTTGTCTCCAGCTCTTCCAAGACACCCTCGCGGAAATACACACGGGTCAAACCCACCTGATAATCTTGGATGTTACGTCCCGCTAGCAGCTTCTCCATCAGCTTTTCGCATCGGAGCTTAACATACTCCATGTCTGAGTCGCTTACGGACTTTTTTTGCGTCGGAATCGCACCTGTACGCAGCACGCGGAATTTCTTGATGCACTCCAGGTGCGGCATGCGATTCGGGTACGCACTACGAGACACTCGGATGGCCTCTATCACGCCTGCGCAACGTAGCTGGCTGACGACGTCGCCGTGTGAAAAGCAGTGGGCACTCTTATGCGGATTTGGCTTGAGACAACGCACATAGTGTACTTCTGTAAGCCCGATTTTCTCCATAAGCTGTGACAAACTCTCTTTGAACTGTGTGCCCACCGTCGTTCGACGGGTCTGCGCGTGTCCTCCCTTTTTGGCGCTACTGCCGCGCGTCTTGCCACGACCGCTAGATCCACTACTCTCTGCGCAGCTCGCATTCACGTCATCCGTAAACATCCTGGACAGAATCTTGAGCTTGGACTGGCTCATACACTGCTTGATGTCCGGCAAGATGGCATCACGGTGTTTATCTAGAAAGCCTGTTGCATCATAGGTGACCTTATCAGCGTAGTGGTAAATGGAGAAAGCACACTTGTTAAGCCGCGGAGTCTCTAGCAGCGGGTTGTTCTCCATCACTGCACCCAATTTGCTTGCAAATGACGCATCCGTGCCTGTGGCAAGAAGCGACTCCTCGTTCAAGAAGCTGATGACACCCAGGCGGCCTTCAATGAGGTTCAGCACGTCCTGATTGTCTGCAAAAGTGATGTGCGACCACGAGATGTTTTCCTCTTCGTATTCTATCTGCACCGTCTTCAACACGTCCTGCACAAACTTCTGTTGCAACTTTTCGTTGGCGTAGTTGATGCAAAACTGCTCAAACGAGTTGGTCTCGAAGTGCTCAAAACCAAAAATGTCCAAGATCCCGATGAACAAGCCAGCACCTTTGGTGTTCACGCCGATTGTCTGATTGATCTGTTCCACGAGCCACAAGAACAGTTTCGAGTACAGACTCTTCGCCAGCGCATCGCGGCAATCTGCCGCCTGGTCGTGCGTCATTGGCTTCAAGATCACTTCGCGACCGACAAACACGTTACGGTTGCACACAGCGCGCTCTAGCGCCTCTGGACTGACACCGAGCAGCCGGCAAGCCACGCTGAAGTGTTTCAGATCCACTAGTTGGGAGGCGTCCACATCCCCATTCTGCGTAGTAAACTCTGTCTCGCCTAGATGCAGCACGGCGCCAAGAATGTGAAAAATCTCCTTCTGTAACGGCTGTTCGATCCCGACTAGCTCCAGAGCTTCTCGCGTACGACTCGAGATCACCCCCTTCGTCACCTTCGCGACCTTGCGTCTCGATAGGCACGTACTTGAACGAGTCCACCATGTCAAGCTCCAGCTCTGAAAATTCTTTGCGCTGCGCTAGTAGCTGATAGAAAATGTGGAAATTGCTTTCTCCATGCGCTTGGGTCGTTACTCGACTCTTTTCCAGCAAGTAAGTGCGAGACCTGGCCCCGATCAATTGGCCTTCAATAGTGAACTGGAGCTCTGTAAATTTACCGAAACGACTGGAATTGTCATTGCGTACGGTCTTGGCATTGCCGAACGACTCAAGCAGCGGGTTGGCCTGGATGATTTGCTGGATCACTTTGGAGTTGGAGTTGGTGGCCAATGCCGCCAAGTGGCTCATCACGATCTTCGTCGTCTCTGTTTTGCCTGCTCCCGACTCCCCAGACACAAGAATACTTTGATTCTCCTGTTTCTGTCTCATGTTGAAAAAAGCCTCCATCGACACCGCGTAGACATGCGGAGGTTTATTTTCCCTTTTCCCATCACTGAACTTCTCCATGATCGACTTGGAGTAGAGATCCAGCCATTGATACGGATTCACCGCAATGCAAATCCGTCCCGTATACGTGTCTAATAAAGCGAAAAGGCATCATATTCAGTGGATCATAGTGCAATCCACCAGTCACCAAACAGCACAATGATCATCAGATACTACAAGATCATCACAGAAGTATCACAAAGAAGCACAAACAGTACCACGTACACGGCAATTGGTGGAAGAACCGCCGCCTCAGATTATACAAGATCGACGCTTCGTGCAAATGGTCGACGAGGATCATGTCTTCGAACCCATTGACACTCTCGCTCGAATTTTGCAGCGGCAGCGACGATTTCGTGTTCTCAGCTGCGTCCGCTGACGCGTTGACACACTCGAGTGCTTCGGTGAGGTCCACCGACCGCTGAGTGCCCGTGAGCGACTTGAGCTCGCGCTCTGATGGAAGCAGCTCCCCCGCCGACGCGCCACGAGGCCCCACGACCTCATCGAGCCGCACCGTTAGCTGTTTACCGTCGCTACTGGCGCCGCAGATCACACCAGGCAGCCACACGTGCTTCTCATCGGGCGCAAAGACCTACAGTACGATAGGGTACCAAACGGCGTTAGCGTACAGCAACAGGGAGACAACTATTGCAATAGATATAGGGTCAGAATCGATACGTAAACAGGTGGTGCACGCACCTTAATGCCCTCCATGTCGCTGCGATTCCACGCCCTTCAACGCCCGCACGTTGATGCGATCGCTTCGGTCGCTTCTCCTCGACGCGCGCTCCTCCTGTCGGCACCGCAGCTCGTGGGTTGCGGTCGTCTACGCGAGTGAGCGCTTGACGTCGTGGTTTTGTCGGACTCGTGCGCTCCCCCGTCAGCGTGCGGATAGGGTTAGTGAATAACGACGAATCACCGTGCGAGGAGCTGGCAAAGTGGCGTTACGTGAATTTGGGTACATTTGCGAGAAGACGATCTGGATTTCGGAGCACGAGACCACGTGGGACGTGGATAGGGGTTTCACCGACCATCTGCTGGTGCAACACTCGGTGTTGTAGTCGCAAGAGTGCGCAAAGGAGGCGCGGACGGACGAGTTTACGACAGGCGCTGCGAACAAAAAGGGAGCAAGTTGTCCGCCAGATTTAGAAAAAAGACCCAATTAAGCCCAAAACGGCAAAACGAGACCACGTCGTGACGACCACTGCTTCTACCATGCGCACACGAAGACTTGCGGCCTGGCTGACTCGACCGGCAGCACGTCGTTTCCATGCTGCTCGAGCGCTTTCACAGACTCTCGATTGCTTTTCTGACATCGACTTGTCTTGGGAATGGCTCAAGGACCCGGGAAACCCTCGACTGCAACGGTTTCTAAAATTAGAGCGGACGTATCTGGCACACCAGCTGGCCAAGCCACGATTCCGCAGAGTAGACCGCACGTTTAATATAGAACTGCGCAACCGGCTGTTACGTGACAACTATAGTGTACCCGAGTGCATTGGGCAGTATGAGTACTACATGCGACAAGCGCCGGGGGAGAACTTTCCAGTGTATTACCGCCGCGATCGCGACGTCGCGACAACTTCAACAGAAAGAGCAGAGCAAGTGGTACTGAACCAGAACGTCGAGCCTCTACTGGCCCATACGTTTCAGATCGTCGCGGGCGTCAAAATCTCGCCCGACGGTACGCAAGTGCTTGTTCTGATCGAAAACGACCGTGAACAGTGTCGAGCGATGCTAAAAGACCTCCAATCCGGAGCGTTGAGTCCGCTGGACGACATTGTTGGCATCAAAAACGCAGAATGGAGCTCTACGACTGAGCGGGTGTTCTATTTTACAAAAGTTGACCACCATGGACGGCCGTTTGCGGTATACCGGTACCATCTGGCCACTCGGATCCAGGAACTGGTACGTGATGGCGTAATGCAGTGCATCAAGTCTGACTGCATAGTTGAAGTTGCACAAGTTCAGAAATGGGGAACGAAGCGACGCTAATGTGGCTACACATTGTGACTAACTATCGTGTGCATGTGTGTGTGTCCTTTGTCGTGCTGTAATCAACAATGCAGATCTACGAAGAGCAAGACAGAGCTTTTTTCGTCGATGTGTCGCAGACGAAAGACACGCGGTTCGTGCTGATCAACTGCAACTCCAAGAACTCGTCCGAGATCTACGCACTGGACAGCCACAATAGCGGCGCGCAGCCTCGTCTGCTACGTCCACGCGAGACTGGCACGTTGTACTTTGCCGATCACGCTGCTGGCCAGTTTTTCATTGTCACCAATGCTGATGGTGCGCTCAACTACAAGATCGCGACATCTACTTGGGATGCAACGGAAGGGGCAGCTGGACTGTGGACAACACTCGTTCCCGAGCACGAAGACGTCAAGATTGAAGACGTGGATCTGTTTGAGAAGTACCTTGTGCTGTATGAACGTGTGAGTAGCGTGCCTCGCATTCGAGTGTGTACACTTGGGAAGCAGAGCGAGACTGACGTCAGCGCTTCTCATTGCATCCCATTGCCCGAAGAGCACGAAATTTGTCGAGTTGTACCTGGAGTCAATCGAGATTATGCAGCTCACCACGTACGGTTTCAAGTCTCCACGCCCCTGGTGCCTGAAATCGTGTACGACTACGACATGGAGAGCAGAAAGTTGCAGGTGTTAAAGGAGACAGAACTGGTTGATCGCTCGGTTGACCGGAAACAGGAAACGGCCCACAAGGTCATCACATCGTCGTTTGCGCCGGACCAGTTCACGTGTCAAAGGTGTTACGTGCCAAGTATGAGTAGTTTGGGAGTGCGCGTTCCACTGACTCTCATTCACCGTCGCGACATCACGCTGAATGGGCGAAACCCGACACTGCTCATCGGTTATGGCGCGTATGGCACCAACCTAGAAGCTGACTTTGAGCTCGAGCATTTGAGTCTGCTAGAGCGTGGATGGGTTATCGCACTTGCGCATGTCCGTGGCGGTGGTGAGCTCGGGTTACAATGGTACCAGGCAGGCAAGGGAATGCAGAAACGTCACACGTTCGAAGATTACGTATCGTGCACGTATCATCTGCTTGATGCAGGATACACCAACCCGGAACGACTAGCTGGAAAGGGGGTGAGTGCTGGTGGACTCATCATGGGATACGTGGCCAACGAGTACCCACATTTGTACCAAGCTTTGGTGATGAAGGTGCCTTTCGTCGACACCTTGGCGACAATGAACGATCCATCTTTGCCACTGACAGTTCACGAGTACGATGAATGGGGAGATCCGAGCTGTTCAGAAGCTCATGAGTACATTCGATCGTACACGCCGTGCGAAAACGTACGTGAGAAGCAAGTGTATCCCGCAATGTTCGTGACCGGTAGTCTGAACGACCAGCGGGTGCAGTTCTGGGAACCTGCCAAGTGGATGTACAAAATGCGAAAAGTGCAGGCCTCGCTTCCTAAGCGCGACAAGCGCCTCATGCTGTTGAAAATGGGTGAAGATGATGGTCACTTTGGTGGCGGCGGTCGACTCGAGCAGCTTGAAGAGAGCGCTATGGAAATCGCGTTTTTATATCAGGCACTGCATCTTCAGTTCCCGTCAACGTAAGTAGCGAAGGAGAATGGAGCAGGACGGATTCCGACACGATCAGAGGTCCCGTTTCGTGTGGCTGCGTGAGAACATGGTGGAAGCGCGAAGGTGGCGATGATGAGTGATCCAGCTGCCGTCAACGTCATCACGACAGAGTGAGGAAAATCTGGTACTGTGCGAATCGACTGTCGACTAACATCAATAGAGTGGGTGTTGAACTAAAGCATGAAGCGCGACGTCACAGCTCTCAAATGGCAAGCGGCGGGAAGCTGAAACAGGGCAGCACACATGATAGATCAAGATGCTCATGTCTACGCAGGCATATCCGCAAGTTACGAGCACGAATGTACTTGTGACGATGCTGCCAGTATCGAGCCGATGCGTCGAGATACGCAAATGATGCAGTGCATAGCACCTTGGAAAGTATGTTCGGGTAAAGCTGTGTGGGCACTTGGATGCAAGCATTGCCTGGCTCTCCGACTGAAGCTTAAGCTTTGCAGGTCTTGGATGTTTGCAGGAAACTTGAACACGACCTCAGCTGAACAAGTGTTCAGATTGAGTTCGTGAAGCTGCAGATTGCCATATAAAGGCACGAAAAAGTCGCCACAGTTAGTCGAGTGCAGCCAAATTGAGCTTGTTCGTTGTGATTATCGCATTTGACAAAGTCATCGTCGGGTACGCTGTCCGCTACATTGAGTTTATGATTCCACTGCACTTCCAGCGATGCGCGACAATATTACAACAACATATTGAAACCAATAACAGTTGATGTTGTTGTGTACAGTTAGTCTCTGAGCAGGACGCTTAGTATCGACGGCTTCGATTGTGGAGGGCAAAAAGCAATGGAAAGCATCTGGCCCGCTACAACCGATCATGCGTTCCCAACGCACGCGTCAGGATCACGGTCAACGTTTACTTCGTGTGGGTCAAGTATGAAAGCCCAGTGAAGGCGTATTGCAACCGGTCCTATGATCGTCGATTCGTGAGCTGATGACGATTCTTATGCGGAAGTCAGTGTTGCAGTACAAAGTGAGGTTACAAGTGTGTTTCCGCGCACTTGGTGTGCTGTCAGATTTGTTATGCCGAGCGGTGGTTGTTGCTACTACACGCTGTATCCTCTATCCAGCAAAGCTGTCAGTGCCTTTGCTTATCACAGCACGTCTGCTTGAGTCGATCGACAGTGGTCAACTCGAAACCGTCGAGTTTCCGCGAATTGGAGACCGAAGAAGATATTATCCAACAATGATACGACAACTCGCGCACGGCAGTCGTTCTCTTTTTGCTTTGGTGCTGAGCTCAGATTGTTGTGTGGAAAAACACGCGCGAGATGGTGTCAGTATTGGCCTCCATCTAGTTGCATGTGAAATAGTTCGGTTTTACAATATACCACTCCCTCTGCGAATAGATCGACAATTGATTACGAGGATGGCTGGTGGTCAATTAATTGGATGGGAAAAGAGCTGAATAGCTTCGAAATAAAATGCTCGATCGAAATATAGTGTGAGCAAGGGTGGACGTTGACATAAAAAGATCAGCGGCGGGGAGCGCATTCGCAACGAGTATGCGGTAGAGTCGCTGCACATGCCGACGAAAAAAGTCCGCACTCGCTGCAGTTTGACGACGTTCGCAACTTCGATACGTCGACAGTCCGATGCAGCTATACACTTAGCAGAAAGAAGCCATGGAGACCTTGCGGCCGACATCTTGAGTGGTGTGAAAGAAGCCCGTTCGAGCATAAGAATGTTTCAGCAAGCGTAATTGACGATCACCTTTGTATGCACATGAACAAGACGATGCAGCCCATTGCAAAGATGGCGACGGTTGTAAGTATCTACGCCTTACAACTAATCGTCGCGTGACGCAAGCTCGAAAAGAGCCTATGAAAACCGGTTGTCGGCATGGCTGCAAGAAGCAGTCAAGCGTTACGCGTCCTCCCGCCCAAAAGACCGTTCTTTTCTCACCACCAACAGACGAAAAACGTTCCATCACCTGAAATTATTGCCTCGACACAATATGCCATGCACCATACATAGTCAGTCACAGTGCATTTCGAGACCACTTGCAGCGAAAAGAGGCGGCGTTTCGAACGCGCACCAGCTCAGCCATCTGACACGCGTGCCGCTTATCCCGCTTTTCAGCCTCTGAACCCATGTTCACCTGCGTCTATGCTGCTACCTCCCGCATACAGTCGCAGCATCAAAACGAACGCAATAGTACCCCCCCCCTCCTCCTCCTCCTCTCTCTCTCTTTTCTCGCTCGCCATTTGTCAACCTCGCGTTGTATCAAGTTCGACAGGTTTTTCGCCCAGCCCACGAAAAGCGGCACAAAAGCCGTCGTCAGTCGACAATTCTCTCCACGCGCCGCACGTGTACCGTCTGCTCCCCGTCCACGGGATTCGCTCTGGATGCCCAATGTCTCTACGTACGTACGTGTGCACTATGCCGTCTCGAGTCTCCAAAGCTGTTGTGCCGTGTCGAGTCGAACCCGTACCGAACGTTCTCTCTGTTGTCCTATTTGTGGTCTCCTCGTTGTGTATAGCACGGGGTCCAGCGCCGCTTCACGAACGGACCTCTTCGCCTCGAGCTCTGTGTCGTTCGCAGACCCCTTTCACGGCCACAGCTTTTTCCCGCTTGAGCTCGACGCATTGTCCGCAATCGACCGCAGCCTCGTGCTCTTCCGCCACTGCTCTGTGTGCCACGAGCGGCTCTTGACGCTCTATCGACCTGGTACAACTTTGACTGCCACGACTTCTACTGCTGCTGCGCTTGTCGTGTCGGCTACACGGACTCTTGTGGCTCCCCACGCCACGACTCGGGGCATCTGTCAGTGTCTCGCTTGTGGTGTCTTTGTCCACCGGAGCTGCGCGAGTTTCGCGCACTTGCATCGCTACTGCCGAGGCCACGCACGTGTTGTGCCAGTGTGTAGCCATGTTGATGCAAGCGCCGCGGACGTGCGGTGTCCAGATGCAGTCATGTCGCTACAAGACCGAGAAAAGCGGTGCAAGACGGGCACGAAAGCTCGAGCCGGTGTCGAAACGTTCACGTTGGCCGCTTTGATCGACGAGCTGGACGGGAGTGCGGTCGTTCGTGTGAACTCGCGGCCCAGTCCATTGGTTGGCGAGAACGCCACGCCGAAGCAGCAGCACTTGGAGACAGCGTCCAAGTTTGTCAAGATGTTGGTGCCAGTGGTGGCTGCAGGAGGTGTCGTTGGGGCGTTTGCTGTGGGTCCTTCAGTCGCCGTACTCGCTGGACTAAACATGTTGATCACGAGCGTCGGAGCGGAGACGGTCATGGCTGGCATTGGACTGACAGCAAGTGCCGCAGCTGCCGCAACTGTGACGCATCAGAGCAAAGTGAAGGCAGTGAAGCGCAGCAAAGAGCGACTGAGGAAAGGCGAGTGGGCTATGGAGATCTGCTGGAATTGCATGAAGAACTTTGCCGGTGCAGCGTCTGACGACGCTTGTCGGAAAGATGCCGAGTTCCTTCGTCGTTTCCAGCGGCCACGTTCACGCTACAGTGAACGGAAGCAGCAGAGTCCAACAGGGGACGTCAGTGCCGACTGTGTGGGCGTTGGATCGAGCAACGAAGAGCGTCTGACGCCGCGAGAGACTGTACCCGATGATGCGGAGGTGTATCGTTTTCTGTTTGGTCTTTTCGCGTCGCCCGGTGAGCTGCTTGGACAGATGAACGTGCAGCTGTGCGAAGCTTTTCGGAAGCGTTACACAGACCGACATCGAAAACGGCTTCGACGGTCAAGTTTTACGGGAAAGTCGAGCTCTGCGCGAGTTCTCGGGGCGCGTGCGATGGCCAAAGATACGCTTCAGGATACCAAGATGTACGTTGCACACGTACTCGGTGCAACGTTGCAGTGTTTGCCAAGCTTGGCCAGCACTCCTGAATCGATCAGTAGCTGCACGCTCGCTGTTGAGCGAATCATTTACGACGACATCCACGCCATGGTGTTTAGCGAGTTTCAGAGTGCGTTCAAGGAAGCCGAGACGGCGTTTGCTGATAACTTGGCGGACATTCGACGCGAGCAGAGTTACCACTCGTCGCCACTACTGCGACTACCTCGTTCAGGCCAAGAAGGAGATGGCAACAACCGTACAGCGGCGTTTCAGCATCCTGTGCTGGCAGACGATCTTCAGAAAGCCGAAGCTCAACTGGTCGTCATGATGCAAGAGACGTCGTCTCCGTTGTTGAAGTTGGTTCTGCTCTGTGACGCGTTCCGGAACATTTGCTGCTTTGCCGAGAAGCTGCACCAGTCCGCGTCCAACACGGACCTGTTGATTCCCATCCTGTGCGCGTTCTTCGTCGAGTGTCCGTCGGTGTGTCATGCCGGTTCGAGTTTCGTGGCAGAAATCGCTTTCATCTCCTTCTTTACGAACGGAGGAGGCAAAGGTGTTGAGGGCTACGTCCTGACCACGTTGCAAGCGGCGATTCAGGTGATCGTTGCTGTGGACGTGCCAAATGGGCACGCAAAGGAGCTGGAGCTATTTGCCCATGACAACGACAGTGAAGCAACGGACGAGGCCGACGTCGACGATCGCGAGTTCTTTGATGCAGTGTCGATACCGACATAGGAGGAGTCTTGATTGACCGGCGAGTTCCCAAGGGGATTTCATGACTCAGGGCGGGCAAATGGGAGCCATATAGAAGTGTAGATAGATGTGAAGTAGAGGTGGACACAGTCCACTGAATTGAATCCGGATGCAACAGGAATGATGATGATGACGATGACGACGACGATGCGTATTGTCGACTTGCTTGACTCGACGAGTGTTTTCGGTGTGTCAGCAAAGGCTCAACTGGAATCATTCGTTCATTGCCGAAGGTTTGCTGGCTGGACTGCACCCCGTCGTGCGCTTGAGCAAACGGCGACGAAATCTGGAACCAGCTAATCTGTTCACATGCGGTAGAGTTGATTCGGACGTGCTTATCGAAGGTCAATGCCCTCGTGGCGGGTGGTACATCGAGCTGGGTCCAGTCGATTGCACCATTGTTGAATCCACTCGTCACGGAACAAGACGTGTGTAAGGTAGCGAGACGCTTCTGCCTCTCTGAGGATTCCGACCTGGTACTGTGATTCCATCCGACGAACGTGTGTTGGTACTTGATATACAAAAGACGTGCCGGTTGGTAATGCTGAGCTTGTCAAGTGAAAGACATCAGAGACCACGCGAGGCGGTTGCCACAATACCACGTCGAGTCGAAACGTCGTCCACCGCCGACAGCACTATCCGATTTACCCTCAGCAAGTCCATTGCTTCCCCACTTTGTCATACCCCAACGCAATACCGCACCACATACAATGGTCACTGGTCTCTGGTCTCCCGACGAACACGCCGACTTTCTGCTTGCAATCAAACTGTACCCTCGAGGCCCGTGGCGCAAAGTCGCAGCGTACATTGGCACGCGATCCGTCCGTCAAGTGCAAACGCACGCCCAAAAGTACCATGAAAAAGTGGTGCGACGCATGCGGGGGCTGCACAAAGGTCGCCGCTATTCCGGTCGCGAAGAGCACCGCATTGACGACGACATGCTCGCTGCGTGCAAGCTGGGCGAAGGCTTTGGTGTCCTCGCACCCCGCCACAGTAGACCGGTAGCTCCAATGAAGCAGCAGCAGCACCATACTGTTGTGCCACCACTGCTCGAGTCCACCGACTTCAGACCTGTACGTCTGCGGGACGCCACACTCGGTTCGATGAGTCCGAGTGGTGTGGACTCGAACGGCATTGCGGACACACTTCAGAGGTCATTGACGTGTGGCATTTCCTGTTGGCTCCCGACGATCGACGAGTCACTTGATTTCCTCATTGACCGCTTACTTGTTGAAGGCAGCAAGTGCCAGAGCTATGCATTCGACTGGAGCTCGATAGACCCCTAAGTATACTTTACATCAGCGAGTGCTTTCTCGACATGTGGACCGCTTTCGTGCTTTGGTTGCGTGAAGAACATCACGTGTCACTTGTCAGGTTTCCAGTCGTCAATGGGCTAACGGTTGACGTCCTCCACACGATGCGAATGCACCCGCAAGCGGAACACAGAATCCGTCTACGATCCCCTGACTCGACGACGACTTTCAGTGCCTGCAATGCTGTGCTACACGAGTACAGGACAGATCTTTTTTCGAGCTGTCGTCAATGCATCGGATACATGCTACATCGAGCACTCGAAGCTCACCTTTGCGTATTCGACAGTCGAGATCATGAGTCGAATGAACTTCACCTACAGAGCCGACACGTCCTCAACCAGGTTTGACACTTTTTTTCCAGTCCCCACTGCTTTGCACTGGACGCAGTGGTGGTCCATTACGCATACGCGGAAGTTTGCCTGATTGTAAACAGCACGACGTGGGATGATGCATGTATCCACTACGACTTGTGTACCGGGGATTGCGAGGTACGGCAGATAGGTGTACACGTGGGTCTGTATCGTCGCGGTACATGCATTACTACCACGAACGCGCTTGTCATACACGAGACAACTTACTGATGTTACAGGTGGTATGTATGACGTGTGTCCCCTGTACTGCAGTCGCGACAACCTCTTACCACGGTCGTAATGTATGCAGATGGAACAAGTGACAATGGCTACGCGCACGTGAGTACTGTGCAACTGCAAAACCAGAGTCGGGCTTCTGTCTCATGACCGGACGACGCTGTCGTGCAGTGTCTTATCCCATGCGTTCGATGTAGTCGTTGAGGATGCACACTGTTTAGGCCTCGGTACAGTAGCATGTTGAGCGAGTGACCCCATCGCGTCGGCTTCGAGCTGTAGCTGCTTTCGCGAGGTAGCTCTCGACCAGAAGTCCAGGCTCACTATATCATCTGCGGTTGTTGAGTTTGCGTCCAACAGCCCCGCAGACGTCGGGCAAGCGTCCGCATATTCTACCCGAGCCGGAACTTGTCGGGCATCCGTTCAATACATCTCCATCATTCAGCAAGTGTTTGTCTGACCACTTCACGAAAACACACTATCGTCAGTCCGATTACTGCTGTAGTGATTCAGCTTTTGCACTCCAACCGAGAGTAGCACACTGAGTACACAATACTGTCGACCTCCGTGCTTCTTCACTGACTCGCAGCTAAAACGCCGACATGCAGGCCTCGTCAATCTCTGACAGCACTCCGCAACCTGCACTATCTGACGTCGGTTGCGTGTCAGGAGATTCCGGTAGCGTAACGTTTGTCTGCGCAACAATTTGCTGAATCACCACTGTGCTCAGCCGAAGGTAAACGATCACAACACCGCCTCGTGTGTTCAACGCCTTACTCAGGTCCCCGCGACCGTAGTTTTCTGCTGACCTTCAGATAGCTGGTGTGGATGATAGGGTACGTGGCATGGCAAAATGAAGTGGCAAGCAACAGAGCGCCTATCTCACATTCCAAGCAGCAACGGTGCCCGCGACTGAACTTCGTTCGTATGCGTCTGGATTTTGCCGGCTCCTTCGTTCAACTCTCGTTGCCGCATACAATGCAAACAGCACTCGTGCCCCTTCCAGCCTCCTAGGCCGCGCAAACCTATCACTTGCTCCTCAAGCTGACTTCCACCTATTCGCCACCAAACTTTCGACAGTTTGCTGCTCGCCGACGAGTCAAGAATCATCCTTCCGCCACGTCTAGGAATTGCGAAAGAAGCCGTCTGGCAGAACTCAGCGACACACAAACACTTGTCATTCCACCATCCGCTCTGCAGACCGCAAGTCAGCAAAACTGCTGCAGCTTTGCTGGTCCGCTGTCTCCATCCATACATCCGACAACGATCGGGCCCATCATACGCATCCGTCTGTACACAGCACGAAGCACGGCGTCTGGTCCGAAGACGAGCACGACCGTTTCTTGCTTGCGATCAAGAACAATCCTCAAGGTCCATGGGGCTGCATCGCCACAGCTGTCCGCACTCGCTCCGTCCGGCAAGTACAGACCCATACACAGAAATACTACGAGAAGATCATGCGGCGAGTGCGCGGACTACGCAAAGACCGCAAAACGTTGGCACGTGTTGAGCACCGCATCGACCACAATATCCTGACGTTCTGTGACTTCATGAAGAGTATGGGCAGCACCAAAGCCATGGTGGGCGACCCCTTTACCCTCATCCTTAACAATCACTTGGTAGTATCGCCTCCGTCAAGCACCAGCTCTAGTCCCCGCACGAGTCCCGTGCGATTCCAACTTGACTTCGACGAGAGCAGTAGTACGCCGGAGAAGAAACTCGAAGCTGTCGGTAGCCCCAACGACGTACCCCAACTGGACTTACCGCCACTGGACGAGGCACTCGACTTTCTGATTCAAGTCATGGAGCAGTGACTCCAAACACCTGAGCGTAATCAGTCACGTATGTTACTCCATTTGCTCAGGAGAGCACCTATTCACCGCACTTAAATCAACGCCGTGAGCCGGTAAGACCCGTAATCAATCAGTATGCGATCGGTCAGCATTCGTCATGTCTCTCCGGTCAAAACAGAGTAGAACTCGACAGGTTGTTGATCGTCCAGCCGTGACTCTACCGATCGACAGGAATGATATTCTCCTCGTCGACGATTAGCGTGTAGCTGTAAAACTGCAAATACTTCGAAAAGAAAGCGCCTTCGAGTGTTATGACCACTTTGAACGTGTGAGTCTTCCATGTGAAAGTGAACTCGCTGCCGGAGTCCCATAGCATGTCCGTCACGCTGCGGTTCTGCAGCAGTGGCTCCCCGTCCAACAGAATAGAACGAAACCCACCACGAAGACCATGCTGCAATTCCACACTATGCTGCTCGTCGGACCCTTGCAACAAAAAGATCCACCATACTTGTTTCCACGGAAATGTAAACAGCAACGCACTGGCTGAGTGCTTGATCTCTTCCAACGTGCAGTTCCACACAGTGTTGCCGTTGTCTAGACGAAGCGTTCCCTTTCTCGAGAGGGGTACGCCTTCACGGCCTTGGGAACTCGACGCTAGGATGTTGCGTGACTCAAACACAGACATCTGCAACATCGTCTCTTCTGCCAAGATCGAGCGGTGGCCCTCATCGGGAACTTTGAACCAAGTACGATTCGGGTGGCCGACACTAACCCAACTCGGCGGTGTTGTATAGAGGTTATACACCTCTTCTGAGATTCGGAGAAGTGTTCGTGGTGGAACAACCTCGTTTCCACTTGTGCTCTCGATACCATGAGCGCTCCTCGGCAAAGAACCCAACGAACTGTCTCTTCGTGGCCGTGGCGGGTCAAGTCCGACCCAGCCTTTTTCTTTCGTAAGCCGCACATACGTCTCTCGGGTTCGTGGCAGCGTGTACTCCATTTCAGCTGCAAAAATAGTGTTTGCAAGCAAGTAACGAACGACTTCGCTCGTCCGCTCAGGCGAAAGCAACACTTCCTTCTTTTCGCTGACCACCCGGAAGAAAAACTTGCCGTTCTTCCGTTCCGGATCTTCGTCCACGGCCTCCAGCACACGGTCACCCCGGGGTGTTTGATCAAACAACCAGCCACTGCAAGCGTTATTTGTGGTCGGGTGAGACGCACTGGCCACCTTTATGTACGTGACGTGGCCACCTGGAGGTGAATACTGAAGACTGCTCTCAAAGACGGTGCCTGCTGTCATAGGAGCTACACCCGGCAATCGCGGACACTCAAAATCTGGCGCTGATCGCAAATATACTGGCACGAGTACACGGTAGAACTTCGGTAAATCGCGCGTGACAGCACATCCCTGAACCTGCTCCAGCAGCAACTTATACGGAGGCTGCAGCTGTCGCTCACATATCCACCCCACGTCGTGACGTAACTTCACGAAACCTATCGCTGGCAAGTCCGAGTTATCAGCCTCTTCCCTGATGGGTGACACCGCCGGCACAAGCCTCTCACTGCACTCGATAAGCGTATCTTGGAGACGCTTGCGTCGACTGGGAGGACTAGATGGGTTTAATGAGCTTGACACTGCAATTGCGCTACCGCCTGCCGGTGTCGAAAGCACGTCCACATCTTCCAGAACGCGGTAAAATAGTCGCTCAACCTGTCGCATTTTCGGCTCTGTCATTGGCTCCAGCACCACCTGTCCGTCCATAGTGGTCTCAAAGATCCAACCCCCGCGACATGTGGAAGGTGCTGACAACGTGGCAAACGCCTTGTCTTCCGTCGATGACTCACCACTGCTATCGCCATCACTGCACTTACGCGCCATAGACGTTGGACTAGCGGCACTGCCTGTATGGCTACGAGCGCAGCCACAGCGAGCGTACTTGTCCTTGCACACTCGAACATACGTGATCTTGCTACCTGGCGGCGTAAAGCGCTGCGACGCTTCCACAATCGAGTGCAACTTGAAGCCCTTACCTGACCGCTGAGCCATAATGTGCGGCGCCACACGAATGCCTACCGGAATCTTTACCACATAGAAGAAATGCCCGTTTTCGATATCAGGCTCTGTTGCTAGCCTCTCCAGCACCTTGATCCCTGAGTTGAGCGTCTCAAAGAGCCACCCGTCTTCGTATGCCAACTTGACAAACGTCACTCCACTCTGTGGGCAGCGATACCTCTCGTGGCATTCAATAATCTCTTCTGCATTCTTATACACGTGTCTCGAGATCATTGGCGCTAGCAGATCCGGCGCTTTGCGCAGCTCAATCGGCACCAGCACTCGGTAGTAAAACCGTCCCTTGGCCACAACTGCCTTCTCGTCTTCCGGCAACAACTCCAACAGCTGCATCTCCGACGCTGCGTTCCCCGATTCGGTCCCTCGCTTTGTCGTCTTCCTGGACATCATCATGAATGCGTTCTCCACGTAAGCGAGACGGATGAACCACGTCGGCACGTTCGCTTCTCCGACTAGACACTGCAGGCGGCCGCTGCTCATCACCACTTCCTCTGGCATCTTCACAACACTATAGGCTTCAGCAACAATCACATCGCCAGCAATGGTAACAATAACAGCAAGAAACAATCGCCATCACAACAAACGACACACGTCACATACTCAGCACAACACGCGACACACTCATGACATAAAAAAGACCATATGCAGGTCCACACGCCAGTGCATAAAAACAGCTGCCGTCGATCGGCTACGCACCATTGCGCTCTTGGTGCAACATCTGATATCGGCTCTTGGCAGAGGCCGTGCGTCCATAATTCGCGCGCGCCAGCTCCTGGATGCGCACGGCTTTGTAGTCGCTCTTGGCCAATGATAGGGCGCGGTGGTGCACCTCGTCCAGTTTGGCCTCCGTGTGGTCGAAAGTGGGTACATTGCAAACCCCGTCAAAATCGATCGAGTAGAGCTTCGACTCGTGCAACACGCGGTAAAAGCGCGACTCCACGAGCACTGCGTTGTGTAGCGACGGCGGCGGGAGGCTGTCGCTCGGAGCTTCACACGCGTCTTCTTCGCCCTTGACTGGCGCCTGCTCGTTGTCACTTACTTGCGGGATCAAACGCCCTGAGAGCGCCGTGGGCGCTGATCGCATTATTGCGCTGGAGTGGGGAGGCGAAGGTCGATCGACTGTGAAAATGGTGTGGGGGACACGAGAACCCACAAAACGACGTCATGGTAGTCACACGAGAACGCGCGCGTCCTGTCAAGACGTAAACACCGAAAACAGATGTACTGGTTTCACGAAATTACAAATCTGTGCGCTCGCCGCCTGTGACGGGCGCCGCCGCTGACGACGCGTTCGCGTGGCTGATTGCCATGTCCTGCATCACGTTCGACAGTGCAGCTTCTTCTTGCTTGTGTTTCTTTGTCTGCTGCTTCTTCACGCGCGCCAAGAGATCCGGCAGGTACTCGTTCTCGTACTGTTTGGCAGCTTGGTCGACCGCAGCAAAGAACTCGGGCATGCCTTCGCCAGTGGCAGCCGACACGCCGACGGACGTCAAGTTGTTGTAAAACTCTTCCAGCACCAGACTGAGCGAGCGGGAGAGACTTCCCATGTAGCTGTCATCCTGCACGTCGTCCAGCGCTTTTTGAAATGCTTCAAAGTCTGTCATCCACTCGGTCGCAAAGTCGTGACGCAGCACGTCAATCTTGTTGAACACGACCACGAACGGCAGCTTCAGTTTGTACAAAATGCTGCAGGCGTACAGCATGTTCGACATGAACGTGTTGGGGCTCGCAGTGCGCGGCGTGTCCACCACGTACACAATCACGGACGGAAAAGTGGACGCGAGTGACTCGGTGATGATCTGTCCCGACGCTGACCACGTAAAGGCTTCAATTTGCCCGGGCGTGTCGACAAGAGCATAGCTGCGGATCGAGAGAAAAAGAAGGGTCAGACACGAGCACCGTTTGTTAGACCCAGCAGCGCTTGTCATCCTTCGCAACGCGATCCGTTGCTGCTGCTTGTGGCAGCAAAAAGGACCGCACGTACTCGAGGTCGCTGCTGCGCTTGGCCAGGAGGTCAACGACCTGGTCGAACCGCGTCGCAAACAAGTTGAGCGACGTCATGATCGCGCCATTCGGGCCCAGTCCGTACTCCTTCATCACCTGTTGGTAGTCCACTGTATCGCGAATGTCAATGTTGGCCGTGTACCCCGTTTTGCGCACGGCCGGGTCCAAATTGATCACGTAATTGCGCAGACCCGCGTCCACGCCATAGACGGCGAGGCGCTGCATGAGCGTCGTCTTGCCGCTGCCGGCCATACCGATGACCAAAACCGTCACAGGCTTCGGGTAGATCGTTGGCAGACGCGGGTCCGCCGCAGCGGCCGCAGCGTACGCATTCGCCGCAGCGTCCGGCAGCGGTGTCGCGGTCGCCATTGAATTTGCGTCCGTGGGGTCTCAGTGAGGTCCCAAAAAATGGGTCCAATTGGTCGGCATCAAGTGAGCGCTGGTCACACGTTGAAGTAAAAGGTGCCCATTTTGGCAGCGCGTGTCAATCAATACACCAACTCAGTGGCACTTGTCCCATTGCAGTCGAGACGGTCGTGCTCTAATGTGGTCTCTTTGTTTGTATGTTAATCCGACTGACTGTCTGTCTGTCTGTGTGCTTGTGGACTACAGTACAGTGTGTGTGTATGTGTGTGTGTGTCCTGATCCAGTGGCTACTGCATTCGGTGCTCCTGCTGACAAGTGACGCGGAAGGCTGCAACACACCAGCTACAGCGTATACTTCTGGTACTTGCGCAGGAGTTTCTGCAGCTGATAGTGCACGTCGGCAGCATTGGGTCGCGCTGTCGGGTCTACGGCCACACAGGCGTGTCCCAGTTCCACCAGCGCCGTCGGTGCGTTCGAGGAGAAGTCCACTCGGATGCGGCCCATGACCACCATCTCCATCAGCGCTGTCTCGGAGACCTTTTCGCCGGATTCTGTCGTGATGGTCGCAATTGCACTGGCGTACGGAGGCTGGTGCGAGTCGAGCTCGGACAGCACCACACCGAAGGAGAAGATGTCGGCGCTCGTGTTGTAGCGCTTGCCCATCATGACCTCGGGCGCCATCCAGCGCCTCGTGCCGACGCCTGCGGTCATAGTGTTTGCCGTGTACTTGCGCGAGACGCCAAAGTCCGTGAGCTTGGCCTCGAGCTTGGCCGACAGGAGGACGTTCATGGACTTGAGGTCGCGATGCAGCACAATGGGGTCCAGCGAGTGCAAGTACGTCAGTGCTTGGGCGACGTGAAGGGCGATCGTGGCCTTGTCGACGTCAAACCCTCGCACGCGGTGCTCGACGCGGTCAAAGCGTCTCAGCAGCGCAAACAAGTCACCGCCCGGCATGAACTCAGAGACGGCACAGAGGTCGCTCAGTGCATCCCACGCCACGCCAACGAAGCGCACAATGTGCGGATGCTCGACAGTGGCCATCATTTTGATCTCGGCGAGAAACAAGTTGATCTGACGCATGTCTTTGCGTTTCTCAGGCAGCAGCACTTTGATCGCCACGTCTTCGCCACGGTACAAGCCTTTGTACACTGCTCCGTGACCACCTTCGTTGATGAGCTCCTTGCGAGTGAGCTTCTCCAGTGGAATCCGTGCGGCCGTAATGACTTCGTCCTCCGATAAGCTCGAGTTGGACTTGGACGATTTCTTCGTCATGACTGACGTTGCGCTGTGCTCGAGCCGCAGGGTCGAGTCGAAGTTTGCCGTGCCGTCGAGATCGACCGTCCGGTCAATGAAGTCGAGGTCTTGAACAGCGCCTGCGGCTGACGATGGCGTGTAGCTCTCCAAAGTAATGGGGTCTGCGGCAGGTATCGGAAAGGGTCCAGCAGTGTATGGGATCTCGAACGACGACGACCGTGCAGTCCGTTTGCTTCTCCTGCGACGGCACAGCCACCAACAAATGCCAATGACCAGCAAAACGGCTGCAATGGAGCCCGCCGCCACGCTCAGGATACTTCCCGTGTCCATCCCTAACGAGTCAAGAGGAGAACGGCGGGGTGAGCGGATGGCCCCCAAAGGCAAAGGTTCATGCACCACAGGATGGACTCACCGCTGTCGTCGCTTGTTACGACAATGAGCCCCGAAGACGCGTCCCCGTCACTGGAGTGGGAGCCGACGGTGATCACGACCGTCGTCGAAGCATTGGCACTCGCTGCAGCAGAAGCAGGTTCGTGCGCTCCACCAAGACCTAAGCTCGAGCTGGGACCTGCAGCTGATGTGGACGGCACTGTAATGACCGAAACGGCCGTGCTTGAGGAGGTCCCCGAATCGGGGGCAGGTGTATGACTAACCACTTCAATTACAGGCGATGGTGGTGATGATAGGGACGCTACAGCAGCCTCTCCGGGTGTTGTTCTTGAGGTCAGGGCAGCTGATCTCGGGTTTGGCGTCGGCGTCGTTGCCGGTCCCGACGTCGCATGTGTCGGATTCTGGGCAGGAGAAGCTATCGCCGGTGTCGATGTGGGAGCGCGTGGGGTCGTGCCGGTCCAAGTGTCGGTCGAGTCCGAGACAATGCCGGCTGCCGCGTCGAAGGGGGACATTGCGACACGAGAAGCGCTAGTGCAGCGACAACCCGATGTTCGCTTGGACGATCGCTGGCAATGGAGTCAGACGCTGCACAGGTGTGAGATGCTCAGTGCGTTCCAATGTGGCATTGGAGGGAGAGCAGAGTGTCCTTATAGCAGAAGTGGCGACGGAAGGTGCGTCCGGACCGTGTCAACGACATGGTCAGCGGGCAAGCGGCTTCAACGTGTCAAGTGCCCTGCACGACCACACCATTCGTGGGTCCCCTTCGTGGGTACTATGGAGCGTCGCACGACATTCAACGGGTGCACCTTTCAGTGGCCTTTGTGCCCATCGGAAGCGATCGATGATGCATTGCTAACAAACCGTCTGCCCACGCATCCATCAACTTGACAAAGGACTATCCCTGCCGACATTGCAGTAGGTCTCTCTTTTCTACACTGCTCTCCGACGTGCACGTGCGACCGCAAAGCGTGCCGTCCACCTCACGCGTAGCACCGGCTGGGATTCTTCCGTGGTCTTTGCAGATCCCTGGTCTAGGATGTGACGATTACGTTCCCCGTTGCCAGCTGCGCGTGCGCTACGTCGGGCAAGCAGGGCTACTGTGTGAAGTTGCTCGAACGCATGTACACGGCTACAGGGACGAGCTTCAAGCAGAGAGCACTACGCTGAACGAAAAGACGTGGCTGCTGACTCTGTGTCGGCCACGTCTCACGACGATCACGAATTTGTCTTAGTTTACAGTTAGCTGTCAGGCTTGTAGAGGCTAGTGGTCCCGTGCGACGCCAACCACACGTTGTGCAATGCATCATTCGTTCTCTGGGTCCCGTTGGAAGACGTTGATCTGCTCATGAGCTCCGAGCAACAACCACTTTGACCGCGACGGTGTCTTCGCAAGAAACGCCGAGGCAGACTTTGCCGTAGCTACCAGCACTCGATCGTCGCGGTGACTCTCTTCAGCGAGATACGCGTTGCAGCGGTCCCTTCATGTTGCCATGAACGAGACTGTCTAACTCGCTTGACGTCGAGTTGCGTCGTTCGGCTGCGCAGTGAAAAGAGTCAATGATACTGACCTGAGAGAAGTCACGAACCACATGCTACTTCCAGTGGTGAAGATACGATTGACTTCGCCTTCTCGAGTCGGACGCATTCCTACTCGATCTCTGCGTCCGATACAGGCTTATGCTATCAGCGATATGAATGGGAAGAGCGTTCCTCATTGCTTGTCTTGTGATACCCATAATGTTGGTCGTGCTGATTTCCGTGTTGGGAACAAATTGCGTCTACTTCCTCAGCTCCAAGGACACTCGGTCTCATTTGACTGCCGGTAGGTACAGCAGAGCAGTCATGAACGTGGCATCCACGTATCATGTCGAGTGTCAGCTACTGATGATCTCGACGTGCACACTCAGATGCTGACGGAGTTATCCTTTGTTGGTGACAAGCAGTAGTGCAGTCAGCCTCCATCTCGAGCATATCGAGTTGCCTTGGCTTCTTGGCGGCATCGCTTCTGATCATGCTGGAGATCCCTATGACGGTCAATTGCGTAAGTCAACGACATCCGTGTCCTCAGCGCAACGTCGAACGGTTTCGGTGCAGACATGACGAACGCGTTCTTCATCATCGGGTAGTACAGTGCGTGGCTCAACGTTGTGGAGCAAAAATCTGGACGCAAGTATCGGCTTGACTACATCGATGCGTGACACATCGAGTGCATTGACACTTAGCTTTGGACGAGCCGATACGAATAAAGTGTCGTGCAAGTCAAGCAGGTCCTGATCCAGGCCCCGAGGTCGCAATCGTGATCAGGTCGAGATTGCGATATTGACAGCAGCAAGCCGCTAAAAAAGCCGTTAGTATCGTCTTCCGCTGAAGAAAGCAACCGTATCTTCCTGTATCACCTCAAGACGCAATGTACGTCAATGGGACAGCGTCATCTCGTCTACGCACGAGATTTCGTGTGTACGTACATGGGCATGACGGATATAGGAAGGTAGCCATCATGTCAATCTACGCTGAAATTCTTGTGATTGCTAGAAATCACCAAGCTCGTTTCGGGAAGTTTACATCGCTCTTGCAAAGCCTTTCGTGGGTTTAGCGTCATTGTCAAATGCCGGGTCTCTTGTCGCCTTTGCAGCGTATCCAGCCATTGCACGACGTAGTAGTGGTAAATGAATACGTACTTTGTACGAGTCAGTCACCTGACCGGCGTGGCGAGTGTAGTACGCCATATCGCTGACGCACGTTCAGATCTCGAACGCTACTCTGCAGCGACCACCATCAACACCGAATGCCCCTCGATTCTCCATAACGTTCTCACACAAGTTGACTGTTTCTATCGCTGCAGGTGCATCCATAACGCTATCCATGTACAGAAACGACATGAAGATCGTCAAACTAACAAACATCCGAGATCTTGAAGCACTATACAGAAGAGTGATGGAGCTACAGAGATGACGCTGAGGTGCTAGTCACGATGTTTGATTTACAAGCCAGGATGCATCAGATTTCGGGGTGCATCAGGTTGCATCGGGGTGCATCAGGTTGCATCAGGGTGAGCCTGTTACACAGTGCGGACAGGAATGATATGACCACAAAATCTTTTTGGGTTATAAACCTAGATAAATTGAATTGAAGGTCGTAAATATAGCCAATGGAAAGCGCTGGACGAGACATCATGTTGCGACACCACTATTAAATATTGGAGGCCTACAGCCATAGGAACGCCAAGAAGAGTGGAGAGGGCTGTAAATTAATGATATAGCCACCAAACATCGCCGCGTCATATGTCACAGTCAGGGCGTTGTTTAGGGTCCGTTTGCCTTGTTGCAATGCCTGCTTGCGGACGCTACTATGTATGATCATATTGTCTACAGCAGTATGCCGAGGGGCAAGAAGTTGACAAAGGAAGAGATGGAAAAGGGATAGCTTTCCATGAGACAAAAATGAGTCATCGAGAGATTGCTCGACGCATGGGTTGATCCAAAGGCGTCGTTAAACACTTCTTGAACGAACTTGTCGCCTACAGTGCGTATTAAACAGCCGGAATACCACCAGCTTTGTCTAAAATGACTCGACACCGACTGCTGCCGCTCAGGGGGGGGTGAAATATCTGCACGGGAGCTCCATGCGCAACTGGAACTTCCTGTAAGCGTTTCTAAGGTCAAACAGCTATCAAACGAAATCTTTACGCTCAAGTCTCCTTTATCGAAAACATGCACCAGTGCCTAACTGAACGGCACATACAGCTCGTGTTAAATGGTGTACTGCGGAGAGATGCCGTCTCTTCGATAAGATCGGACCAAAACTATTGTTTCGGGCAAAAAGAAGTTTAATCTGGATGGACCAGATGGATTCCAAGGCTCATGGCCTGACTTGAGAAAAGAAAAACAGGTTTCTTCGACCCGTTAATCCGGTAGTGGCTCGGCTATGGATTGTATTGCTTTTGGAGGCGCTAAGACAAGCACGTTGGCTTTCTTAAAGGAAAGCAAAACAGTGAAAAGTACTAAGTACCGTGGAAAATATCTAGTACCTTTTTTGGACGAGCTGGGTGGTGATGGACTGACTTTTTATCCAGATAACACGTCGATACACCAATTTTGGTCTACGAAGGCGTGGTTTGCGGACCAAGAATGTTCTATTATCGACTGGCCAGCGAATTTGCCAGACTTCAACCCGATTAAACACGTATGGGGGGGGGTGCTTGCCAGGGCCGTACATAAGAAAGGGCAGCATTTTGATCGCGAACTGAGCAAATCGAATGCATTTCAAAGTGCTGAGGAGAAATCAGCGCCGCGTACCTCCAAAAGCCTGCCCATTCGATTCGCAAGCGGTGCGTGGAAGTGCTATAAAAAACCGGGGTTACAAAATTGACCATTAGGGACTCGTAGCAACGCTAAAGTTGAGACTATAATTACTTTTTCGTTGGTGGCTATATCATTTTTTCGTACACTTTGCATAGATAGCATCATACCTTTTGATCAAACAGTCGGCTTTTTTACAATAAAAGAACAGTCACATTTACCATTTAAAGGCTACATGCTTTTTTCAAACTAGAATTATTTGCTCTAACGTTGTAAAAATATTGGGTAGCTATAACACCCCTGTCCGCACTGTGCATGTGATTGGCACGAATGTTTTTGTGTAAATATTCTTGACTGATATTTTTTACAATATTACTTCGCAAGTCAATATTTTATGGTACATGACCTTTAGATATGATTATCGTAGCGCTATACTATATAAAGATAAAGGTTACGGTACAACCAAATTAAATATCAATCGCTGCTGGATGCGCGTGTAGGCGGTAAGCGAGTTCTCATATTCAGGATTTCTAGGTTATAGCCTGCGTAAGGCAAAGAGACTTAATCGAGTGAGCCTTACCTGTATCCGATAGTTTTACTTTTCTCTCATTCAATGCAGTTCCTGCTCAAATTTGCTAACTTCTTCAGCACGTACGGTGTACGTTAGATATGTAGGTACATGCTTTTGCACTGTACAAAGGATCTTATCATTTATGTAATAAAAGTGTGCCTCATCTTACACTTGTTAAACGCTTTCGGCAAATTCTTCGTTATATGGAATTTTCTTGGCGCGGTTTTACATGCTGCGCACTTTGTTGTATCGACGTACAATATTTGGATCAATTTATACTGGTAACAAGGTCCAAAGAAAACTCTCTAATTTGTTGAAAAAAGCTGATCATTAGACTAATATATGATGTTGTAATGGGGTTAGCCTGTTACACAACATAATTAATTATACTAATGACGATGACAGAGAATATTAAGTCACATGTTCTAATGGAAATATGACTGAATTCTGTGATATTGCTGTGGCAACCCAAGGATCTACTCATTGGTTGATATAGACAGTTATATAGAACCCGCCGATCGCTTCTAGACGCGCGCAATGGTTGGTGAGTAGACGTCACGATACATGTAGTAATATTGATATAGCCAATATAGGATTGATAAGACCAAATACGCTTCAACACGTTAATAACATGCGTACAGTA